AAGCTAAAATAATGTGATATTCTACTTATTCTATGTAAGATTGCCCAATGTGACAGAGCTAGCAAAAACTACATCATCACGCAGCATCACCACGCTGCCGACACGACATGACGATATTCTCCATGTCAGGTTAATCAGGCGACGTGTAAACCCTATGTTGGCTAAACATCTCTGCGTTTTGATCTATTGATGGGCTCACAGAGTCACAGGCGCAATCGTTATCCCTGTATAATACGTACTAGGAGTGGGAAGAGACAATCAGAAAACAAACGCAAAAGCGATCAAGTGCGATAAACAAGCACCGCAGCAGACCCGTCCTCGAGGCGTGTCCATTCCCCCCAAAAGGGTGTCTCCCAACCCTCAACATTCCGGCCAGTCGCCGGCAAAAATGACATGGCCGCGTTAGAAGGCCATCTGGAGAGACCTGCAGAGGCCATTTCCCCCTTTGATGAGGAAACCCCTCCAAGAACCCACACACACCTTTTGTTGCCTTACCCAGCCCCCTCCCTTCGATTCTCTTGCAGGACAGGACGGGACGGAGAAAACGTTGAACCATAATAAATAACAAAAAGAAGAGGACGGGTGAAGCAGGGAGGCTTGGCGTGGAAAAATTATGGGGAAGCGAGATGTGGCTTCCCCCACTGCGCAATATATCTACGCATGTATCTGGGGCGCAATACTATAACTAAGGCTTCCAAAATGGAAGCTCTTGTGACCGGCTGCCTCCTGCAGCTCTCAAAAATCATGTACAGTTATTCAAAAATACTCGGGTGGCATCCAATGCTGCAACCGGGCTCGGTAAAGGAAGTCGTAGTCATACGGCTACAGATCATTGCGATCTGCCGCTAGACCGGCGTAGACCGGCGTGAAGCATTGGCCCGGCCAGCATGTACACCTGGTTATATCTGGACCTGGGTGTTTTTGTTCTTCTTATTCTTCTCAACCTTTTCTATTCTTGGAACGGAGGCACACCTCCCTGTCTTGTCTCAACAACAAGAAGTGTATGCGGAGGATACGTCGATGACGAGGCTGTTAGTAGTGCTCTTGCTCCCTTTGATGCTGCACTCTCCCCACAAACGTTTACGCTGTATCCCGTATGTTGTATGCACCGCGAGCCCGCCGAAGTGACGAGTAAGTTACATATACATACATGCTCCAGAAACCCTCCACTTGCCTGTTTTCTCAGGTACCTACATCTCTGCCGCGTTCGATAGGCAGCAGCTCCCCTCCCTAGGCGCGGACGGGGAGCCAAGAGAAGGGCAAGCAAGCAGACAGGTAGGTACATAGGTGGATAGGTGGATAAGGTAGGGGAGCGAAGCCCTGAACCTCTTTTTCCTCTTTTCATCAAAGTGCCCCATCAGATATGCAGGTTCGGGTAACGACACCTTGACGCAAGAAACTGGTTGCAATGCAAGGTGAATCAATGGATGGAGCCAGAGGTGGACGGCCACGTTTACAACGACTCCCTGTAGAGTGGGCTGTACCGGTTATCGTTCTCTTCCTGTCTCTCTCTTCTTCTTTTTTCCTATTCTACTTCTCACACGCCCCCCCTTTCTGGCCACCCTCCCCCTCCGCTAAGTTCCTTCGAGACTGGTCCGGCTAGCCCTCCCCGTCCTCTCTGTCTCTGCCTCTCCCTACCCCGGTCCCCTCCTTTCCCCTTGTGCCTGCTATGTCTCATCTCTGCCTGTTGGAAATCATTCCTCATTCCCCGTCCGCTAGTCAAGATGGAGAGAGACCCTCCAACGTCGTGGGACCAAAGGGAGTGATTGGGTACTGAACTACCTCTTGGCCCCCCCTCCTCTTGGTTCCCCACAAACCGCTCTCTCTTTCCCTTCACACCCATTTTCATAGCACGAGGAAGCCTTGGGGGCGGAGAGTCCCCTGCACAAGTAGCTGAGAGAAGGGTTTAGGCACGATAGAGCCTTTCTCCCTCCCATCTTACCATTTCTCTCGGTCTAAGGCCAGTAGTGATAGGTCCATGAACTCGTAGGAAGGCACTAGGATCTAGTGTGCAGCTGGTGGAGGAACCTAATCTGAGCTAGACACGGGCAACCGCTGCTAGAGTGAGTTCATGTGAGTGCGGAGGCCTGCGGCATTTTCACAAGTTGGAGGGATCCTTCCTGCATTTATGTTCTTATTTATATTACTGGAGACTATGTCGCAAGGCGCCGTTCCCTTTTCAGCTTCCTCCACATACACACTCTATTTTTCAGTGTGTGAGAGGAAGGGAGCTAGAGAGGGACGGTATCTAGAAGCCTAGGCAGGGTACATGGAAAGGGACGAGTGAGACATTGGGAAGAGAGAAGATTTGCGCTCCACTAGAGGGAGAGGGCGTACATTGATGTCCGTGGGAGTCATCGGGAAGAGCAGTAAGTGCTTCCTTTCCTGTAACTTCTAAGTCGAGTCACCGAAGCGGGAACAGCAGGACCCGCAGTTCATCTAAGCTCCAAAGGTGGGGAGGAAGAACAACTGCGTGAAAGATACAACGGGCTTGGTATAGCGAGGGGATGTAGATCAAGAAGTAGCTACAACGACTCTTCAAGAACTGCATGAGGTTGGGCTATCTACAGCAAGGGTGAAAGTAAGGACACGAAGATAGCAGGAGAGAGAGCCCAAACCTCACGATCTTCGCCTAGAAGCAGACAGGGGACAGGGGTAATGTCGGCTAGATCCAGGAAGAGAGAAGGGAATTGAAGCTTCTGAATGGAGGTGGCAAAGTGTACTGCGCTAGTTGTTTTTTTCCTTCTCTCCAGGCATCGAAGCCTTGATGCATCTCGCTATCCATATTGAGCGCCAGGCATAGGAGAGGGAGCGGGGTGTCAGAATGAGGAGAAAAAACAAGTTGGGGTCATGGGGAATGCACCAAGGCAGCCACTAGGGGGAATTAATTTCCTTCTTTTTGTCGTCTCGTAAGAAAGAAAGAAAGGATAAGGCATACATACCAAGGGTGCAGAAAATGCTGATAATCGACAATGTGTTATTGTTGAATAACCAAAAAGTTTGCCGGCGGCGATGCGAGATGTGCGTTTATCAGGCGAGCGAGGCCAAATAAGCGGCCAGCCGCTCCTAATGACACGCTCCCTCTCCCTTCCCACCCCCTTGTCGCCCCTCTGTGATCTGTTCCCACCACGGCCGCTTCTTGGGCCTGCTTCTCCCCCCCACCACATACCCCTGGTATCAACAAAGTGCACCCCTTGTCCTTGTCGGGGAGTCTGCATAGAAAAACAGAAAAAAAAAGTAAAGGGAAATATACCCCGCGGAAGGCGTGGATGCAGACGGGTCACTGCGTTGGGGAGGTCGCCGAGGGAGAGAGAGCAGCACATAAGTCGTATCCGCAAGGATTTCTCTTTCCATTGCCGAATGGGAGAGGTGTGAATGCTGGTTCGAGTGCTTGGTCACTTTGCCTACGGGACCTGGTTGGCACCTGCATCGCATCCGGAAAGGGCGCTGGTCTGACTCTTCGGGATGAGCCTCGCTGGAAATTATATCCTATATCAGGGGGGAATAAGGACGGCCAGGGATCAGCAGTCACCTGCAGCGGGATACACCCATGTTCCATCGGGCGGGAAGACACTTATGAACCGTCTCGGGCCTGGCTCGACGGGGCAGGGGCGGGGTGGAGCGGGGAGGGAATGAGAAAGAGGAAGAGAGACGCCGAGAGGGCCCATATGGCCAGGGCCGCGATGGTAGTCGTTGTGTGTGAAGTGGCGAGTGCCCATGAGGGACGTCATCAGATGGTGTTGGGTACGGATACACCCCCAATCTGGCACCCTGCTTCAGGGCTTCATCCGATCGAGGTGGCGTTCGAGGAAGGACGGAGTAGTTCGTGGACGGCGGGATCGTGGTAGTGCTGCAGTTCTTGTTTTGACTCAGAGATCCCTGAGATAGTTAGCTATTATTTCACTAATACAGACAAAGAGGGAAGAGAATGATAGAATCAGCATATTCATATGTTGGTGATCGGTACACTGAAGCAGAAGAAGGGTTGGGAAAACGGAAGGGGGTAGAAGTTAGGTGCAGGTAATGCCTAGACGGGGGCGTGAAAGCAGGAGGGACGTCGGAGGCGGGATGTATATGGCTGCCGCATCACGCATCGCCTACGGAGTACCATGTTACTCCCTCCCGGCCCCCATTCCAACTAAAGAGGTGGCTTTCGGTGGGGAAAGAGAATAATGGAGCCGGGAAATTTCTGGCCATGATCAACGTGGCAGCCAGACAGCACTTCCAAAGACTAACCTGCAGGGTGAGGTCGAATCAGAAAGGCTCCAATGCAGAGGGTAACTTCTTCCCAAATAGCCCGTTCAAACAACAAGTGGCCCAGCACGGAGCCTATACGGGGGTTATGTTATCAGGAGTGAATCGCATCAGGTATAAGTTGGGCCCATCTCTCCTCGAGAGGGAAAACAAAAAAAAAAAATCATAAAGCAACTCTGCTTCTCACAAGTGGCACTTTCTCACATCCTCTAATCCTCTATTCACATCAGAACATACCTCGAAACACTCCCTGTACGCAAGCATCCCTTGAAGCACAAACATCTCCTGTCCTGTCTTCTAAACGCACTAGATAGACACCAACGGAACAACAAGTCTCTTGACTAGCTGAACGGCACCCCGGAAGTGACACGACATAAAGAAGAAACGAAGGAGAAAAAAAGAGAAGACGCGGCCGAAAACGAAAGTCAACAACGGAAAGAACGAAAAAAAAAACAACTCTAGAAAACGGTTTACTCCCCACCTGTACGGCTCGGCACTTCGGACTTGGCCACCATCCACTTGGCCTTGTTATTAGAACTTTTGACCTAGGGTCGCAGAGGCAGCCAGTAAGTGGGTCGAGCAACCTAGGGCAATATCGGCGTCATGCAAGGCCAAATGCTACAGGACCGAGACGTGTTGTGTTCTAACAACTCCATTGCCGAGCAGAAACAAAGAGGCGAAACAAGAAAAAAAAAAGAAAGTCGAAATCCCCCCCTAAAAAGAATGTGCTACTTCGACCAGACACGATGGACGTGTGGGTATTGGAGGTGGAGTCACTTTCGGCAGCAGTGCCCCAAGGAGTACAGAACTGGCGAGACGTGCGGCCTGAAGCTCGTCAACCAAGTCTACGACCAAGCAGACAAGTGCAGACTGTGTTATGACATCGACAAGAAGGCGCGCCGCCTCACCAAGATGAACCGAGACATTGAACGATGGATAAAGGAGGGAAACCGAACGGCAACGATCGAGCGAACAGCGGCCGAAGCACAACACGTCGAGGCTCAGATGGCCGAGATGCACCGCCAACACTGGAAGCGAGTACAAGGCACTGACTACTAGTGCCCGGAGAGAAACATACATGGCGAACGGTTTTCGCTGCAAGGTGTATTCCTAGACACAAGGGGCGGGGGGGACGAGCAGAAAGGAGAGGGGAAAGCTGAGAGGAGGGATTTGTACTTTTCTATATGCGTGTTTAATGCTTGTGCGTCTGCTTTACAGGTTACTACGCTCTTAGTTCTGAAGGAGCCCAGCTGGAGTAATGGTAGAAAATAGCGTGATTGGACCATCGCGAGTTTCGTACGGATATTATAGTGGGTGAGAAGAGGGCACTTTCAGGGCTAATGGGCAATATCTTGGGGGCAAATGTACGGTAGGCGGGAAGCCTATCTGCCCTGCTTTGATCAGACTACTCTGTCTGATCGAGAGCATCTCTCTTGATTGGGGAAGAGGAATGGACGGGCATTTCCTTCCATAGGGCTCCTAGGCCCGAGAACACCGTGGGGAGGACTTTGCGGGCCTGGGTGGTTCGCTAATCGCGCACCCTATTCTCTCCCGGCAGGCTCGTTTGACAAGCAGGCAGGCCAAGAGGGAAACAGGAGAAGGGATGGGGTTTCGAGGAAGGCCCGAGAATGAAAAGAGAGTAAAGATTGAAACGCAGACTTTCGGTTGGATAAAAGGCGAGGAGGAGAAGGGAGGAATGATATGGCAAGGTTAAAACGGAGTTTTGTTTGCTGTTTCCATAGCTGGCCGCCTGCGCTAGCCAACACATGTACTCTCTCACTCTCTCACCCACAGTCTCTCTCTCGCTCTCTCAATTTAGCTAGAGATAATAGTGCACGTCATGGAACCTTCAGCTAGTTCATCAAATCTCGATTGTGCATTTCTCCATGTTCCCAACGCCACCTACGACGGTACTAAGCCGAGGTCGGGCGCGTGATACTTCATGCGGTTCCCTATGACATCAAGCCATGTCTACCTCTGATCCAACTGATCCAACCAGTTTTAGTACTCGCCTTGCTGGCTCTGACGGATCTCGGGTGACTTGGGTGGATTCGTAGCCAAGGTGCACTTGCAGCATGAGGGAAGGCGCAGGTGGCCTACGAGGACATGGCGCGTGTGTGGAGGACTGGGAATGGAAGGTATAGTAGCATTGTGTCGAGAGGCATGGACTACGTTGAAGAAAAGTAGCCGACAGGAAAACATGATGATGACGGTAGGGCTAAAGGGGATTTGTGGAAAGAGGGACGCAAAGGCCTAAGCCCTGGTGTGAGAGCTGAGATTGGATACCAATGGGTAAATGACAGCGTAGGTTGTGGGGCGCTAGTAATAGCGTGAGTAGAGGACTGAGACTCTGAGAGGCAAGAAGGAAGGTGACGGAGCCCATATGCGCGAGAGTGTGCGTGTTGTGCGTGTGTGGGCGGGCAGTTGTGGACATACATATGTGGACATGGGGGTGGGCGCATGAGTTTGTGGAACTGCAAGATTCTCATGGTCATCTATTCAACGTCCGAGGAAATTCATAGTACATAATAAGCGGGAGATGTCGCTGCTTGTGCGTCCCTGTGTGAGTGAGCGAGTGTCCATCTCGATCTCTGTCTCGCGAGGCCCGGGTCTTGTTCTTCATCTCCCCTCGTGGGTTGGGAGAAGAGGCTGACTCCCTCCGCCAGGGTGTGTTCTGCAGAAGTACAGAGGAACGGACCCAATCGCGCATCGAATCTACCCGTTGAATGTGGCGCCCCCTCAACCTGTTGCGATTTCTAGGTGTACACCGTCGAGATGGTAATGGGATTCGTCGACCAATTACGCGAGGCCAAATGCTGCAGGCCCTTGCTGTACTATCGAAAGATTGGACCAGACGGGGTCGAGGTCGACCAGTCCCAGACCCTGCTGCCACCGAGAAACGCAACTGTACCGAAGCCGGAGAAAATAGCAGACATGCATGCTGACAGAAAAAAAAAAGAGGGTGGATCATAAGGAAGGGCATGTTCGTGGGGTCCCATGCAGGTATGGGAAAATAATTATAGTGGCATGGTCGGGACGGGACGCAGGCTCGAATGGGCCCAGAAGGTTTCAATGTTCTTCAATGCTATCCTCAAATTCCCCACTACAACGTAGTAGTCCACACTGAAAAGAGGCACGTGGCCGCTGCTAAATGGGTATCACTGCAACGCTCGAAAACTTCTCGCTGGTCTTTTCCCGAATCTGGCAACACAGCCGGCGATTGGTGATCTAGACGTACAGGCCGCCTTGAATATCTGGCGTAAAACATAAAATGGATATCGAACAAAGGAGATGGATGATCGGTAGCCCTAGTTGCAGGGCTAATGGAAAGTGTATGTAGTGTGTGTAGTGTATGTAGAAGAGTGGACTTCTGGTTCGTGACGAAGATTTCAAATGGGGGCAAATGGGGGCATTTGGCTGGAGTCATTCCCCACTTCTATTCATGTGGAGCGTAAATGCTGGTATAAGAACCCAGCTGGAGCTTGAGGCGGCAGGCGCTACTTCGTATGAAGTCTTGTCATGGCTGAGTGATCCGAGGGTTTGGTTGGACTACGGCGGTAGCGCGCGTGTCCCGCATATCGTACAAGGTTGGTCGGTCCGGAAGAAACAGGTACTCGGCGTCGAAAATCGACCACGGGGTGGTGTGTGTTATGATGCAATGGCGTGGCCGTTGTCAGACCGAGACGCCGGTTGGGGGTTTCCTAACATCCATCTCTCACAAAAGCAACCCAGGAAGCTGAGGCATAGCTCAACTCATAGCAGCAGCCGCATCCGCAAATGTACCTACGAGGGGTTTATCATCCTCGCCATTGGCAGTCGTCTCACTGCGTTGCAGTTCAATCGTGTCTTGCTCATCCGTGAGCCAGTCGACCTGCACTCCTTCGACGTTGTCTACTTCATCCCCTTCATCATGAGCGGCGAGCTTGGAGAGCAGGTTCTGATATCGCATCATCCGAGCCTCCTGGCCAGCGTAAGCAAAGGGAGCTGGCGCAGAATGACGACCGTCTCCTTGCGGCGCAACTTCGAAAATATCCACCATATTCCTATAGAGAATGCATATTAGCATTTTGGGCGGGAGTTCACACCACTGTCGGTCGATGGGAGCGCCAACATACTCGGCAGTCTTTGCTACCACGCGCTGGAGCGCTTCAGTCTCTCTCTGCGTCTCAAGGTCGTCATCCTGGTTCGTCACATTCGGCTCGCCAAAGCTTCCGTATTGAAGATTCGAGGGGTCGTCGAAAAGAGGGGATTCTTCATCCTATAAAATGGATCGATAGAGAGTGAGTTGTCTGTTCGATAGGGGGTTTGATAGGAAAGAGCGAGCATTGATGAAAGGGGCAAACCCCACAAAGAGGGAATGGAACAAACTCACTTCTTCATAAGGTTCCCTCCGCCGACTTCCGAGACAAGACGAACAGATGCCCATCGCTGCGAAGAATACAATATGTCGACCAAAGAAAATGTACCGGTGAGATCGGACGGAATGCGGGCTGTAGCCGCTACCGGAAACGGAGCATGAAGCTGTGTCCTTAGCTTACGCACCTAGGGGTTGTTGGTCTCCCTGAGGTTGAGAATTGCGCCTGCTACGCCGTAGCTACCGATAAAATTGATGGCCCTCGATCGCTTGATGGTCGCAATGGCATGATGCGACTTCTCGGAATTGTTGAGATTCGCAACGTGGAGGGGAAATTTGATCACAGGCTGCTCGGTAAATTTTCGTTGCTGGGCAGGAACGACGAAAGATCGCGCAGGCGCGAAGAAGCAACAGTATGAATTTTAAAGAACACTGTCAACCTGAAATTGACGGCCCGCCAACAGCTGCTAATATGACACTCAGGACTGCACCCAGCGAATGGGAGATAAGAGTCGACATCTTCGCCTTTCTACATGTAGGTCGTCGAGAGAGTATCAATATCTTAACCATAATGAACTACTGGTATTATCTGTATATACTGGGGGATCAGATGTGCCCGATGAACCCCGGAATGAGCGCTATCAACAAAGTTGCGGTGACGCACACATAAACTTTACACTCCAAACATGCCATGTCGTTAAAACAGAAGAGAGACTCCAACGCCATTACCATATGCGCTTCGCCACCATTTCATACCTTGAGACTCTCTCTAGGTCATCATCTTGCACCTTATCCTTCTTATTCCTCCGCTTCAACCCCTCCTTCTCATCAGCATTCAACCACTTGCTTCTCTCATCACCAATCTCGACGTGACCATAGCCGCCCGATCTCTTACCTTGCGCCAGGTGTGACTCCCTCTCCAGCTTCCCCTGCGCTATCTGGTGTTCCCTGTGCTTCATCTTGGCATATCGTTGCCGCGAGTAGTGTAGGAGTACCATCCCGAGGAGAAGCTTCACTATGAGGAGGACGAGGAATACGATAAAGAAGAAGACCACCATCGTGACGGCGGCGATGGCATCGTCTTTGGTCCATTCCCACCACGGTCGTTTCTTGCGACCTCCGGGTCCGAAGGGATCGCCGTAGACGGACCGCCCGAGGGAGTCCCGAATTAGTGTATCAAATCTCTCCAGCGCCGCCAGAATAGCCGGTGAAGTAGGAATGGCGGTATTCTCCGTTAAGGAGGTATGGGTAGAAGGGGGGATTGGCGGAGAGACTCGTGTTGATAGGAACATATGGTAGGTCTGGAAAGATGCCCGGATGAAGAGGCAGGAAAGAGGGAGGACTGGAAGACCTAGCCTTCGAGTAAGGGATGGGGTAGTGAAGGCCTTTAGATAGTGGATATCAGTTAGTGTCATCTGGTAGTATCAGAAAGCAGAGTGAACTGCTGATGAGTGTGCGCAGACTCACATTGGTGTAGTAATCCTTGCACAAGATGTCGAGGACTCGGCTATAAAAGGTACGCTTGATGTTGTTGAATTTGGTAATGTAGGCATGCTTGATGATATCAACCAAGATTTCACTACCAATGACAATGAAGAACGGTGAAAGAACTTCTCCGGACAATATCCAGGTTGGCAGTATAGTGAAACTATGTGGAAGGATGGTCGGGCTATGCAAAGGCTGTGTGTTTGATGGTTCCAAGTCTCCGGTGCCAGCTCCGGGGACGGACAGGCCGCCGACTTCAACAACGTTGCGCATGCCAATGATGAGGAGCATGATCCAAAGTTGGAATCGCTCAACGATGTCGGCGCAGGTAAGTTGAAATAGGTTATCCCTTTCGAATCGCTTGAAGACTGTGCTTTTGACCTCCACGAATTGGTTGGACATCAGCAGAGTCAACAGGGCATTGGAGTAGGAGTTGACGGCGACATTTAGTGTGATGCATTGGAAATAGAGCGCGACGGCATGGGCAACGTTATACACTAGGGCGAGTACGAACATGCCGAGAGGCATAAGAACCTTGGACCGGCCCGAGCTGTTTCTCGCAAGAGTCTCGGCGCTAAATAGACACTCGAGAATATCCTGGCCGAGCGAGCCTAGTAGTCGATCTCCCACCTGCGGATGAAGGTCAGCAATACATTCCTCAGAAGGGAGTGTTGCAGGGTTTTAGTGGTTACCTCAAGTAAGTTGAAGATCACGTAAAGTTTTATATCTGACTGCGCTCGGATGAAATGATACATCCGGCTTCCGTCAAGTTTCATGAGAGCAATCGAGCTGCAGACGATGAGTGCTCCTTGAAGGAGATCTGCTTTGTTATACGCAGATAGATTTGAGGGTCTCGACTTCGTTCGACGATGTCTGAAAATCGTGGAGGCAGGGCGAGATTTGGTCTGAGGGCCGCGGTTCACATAACCTGCCGTTGAGGAAGAAGATTCAGCGTTCGCCGGTTGTGGTGCCCCGAACTCCGAAGGATTTGGGGGTTTTCCTTCCGATGAACACGAATCGACAGAATCACCCCTTCTTTTTCTTATTCTAGACCTAAATATCCCGCGGGTCCATAGGCGTCCCAGGCCGTACCACACGAAGCCCGTAATCCACTTGACTTCCTTGGCAAAGACGTGGCCCCACCATTGGAATAAGATGCCAACGGCAATGAAGAAGCGGAGAGGGAGGATAGTGAAGGTATAAAGCCATGAGTCAAGACAAGCTAGGGCTCCAATAGTCAAGGTGCGTTCTAGGAAGGGAGGAAGTAGGATCACATTGATTAAACGCTCAATCTTGATCCGGCTGGACTCATAGGGAACATCGATGGTCGCAGGCCGCTGGATGTAAAGAGGACTAGGCTTTTGGGCCGCAAGCTCGAGTTGCAGATGAGTTGGTAAGGATACAGGAGGAACCGGGATGGGTGTAACGGGTGTAATGGGTGTGCCGGGGGCAAGCGCTGGGTTCTTGGGTGCAGAGTCTCTCCTTTCTGGCCGATGGAAGGGCAAAGGATTCTGGTGAACGAGAGGTGTCGTCGGTAGAGAATGAAGGTTTGGGTAGGGTCCAACAGGGTGAAAAGAATTGCGGCGAGGAGAAGAATGTACCGAGCCACCTCGATTTCTAGAAATCGGCGGTGTGGACAGCGTGCGCGCATTGGTAGGTATTCTTAAGGTCGCGGTCGTGCTGTCACGGTCACCATCCCTTAGATCGCTACGTAGATCGGACGCCGAGTTTCCTAATATCGACTCCCTGATTGCCTGCAACTCGGAAGGTGAAAGGCGTCCAGTACGGCGATGGTCTGTCGTCAGCGCATCCGGGACGACGGCTATTGGAAGGGAATGGGGAGAGTCGGTCAGCTGGTGGATTTCCGCAGCCGACAGCCGTCTGACATTCTCCTGGCTCTTGCTGGCTCTCATCGGCCGCCCTTGCGCAACAGTATTGGTCCCATTTATTTCTCGTTTCGCCGGGTCGTCGGTCGATAGGGGCGGCGGCATGGAGCCAGAGGAGGAGGATGAGGAGAAGGAAGAGGCATCGTTCGGGTCGGGATCAGCTCGAGTTCGAGTCGACGAAACGTCGGAAGAATAATCCTCATCGGAATGAATTGTGGGAAGCGGTGTTCCGACGTTTGAGGACACAGTTGATGCGATACTTTGCTGCGTACTCGGTGGCGGTGTGGGATGTGGCGAGGGAAGCTGGTGGGATGTCAAGTCGACGATGTCGTCTGCGGGCGGTACCCTGGCATCTAACCCATTACGACGGCATACAGACATGTCGTCTATAGTATCATTATCGCGGTCGTCGTTTCGACTAGCTTCGGCGGCGGCGAGGGTTGGCCCTTTTCGCTGTTCCTCCATCTTGCAGTCGGCGATGGGCCGTTGTCTGAGACTAGACCATGCTGAGTTTCAAGGGTTCAATTTGGATTCGGGGCTCGCCAAGAGAGTTCGAGTTTAAGGTTTCTTCAAGTCCCAAAGAATAGAGGCGGCGGAAACCCGCAGGTCGCACGACGCTAAGGAAAAAGGAAAGAAATAAGCAGGAAGGAAAAAGAGACTGATTCAGTTGCTTGAGGTGGACAGGTGATCAATTAATGTTGGAAAGCTGCGATTAAGCGTCCTTGTTCATTTACTACAGGTTTGACAGGTGATGACAGTGATGACACTTCGTTTGGATTTGAGTGGTCGTCCCGCATTCCAATTTTAGAAGACTCAACCGGATTTATTGCAAATTGTACTAACGCCGGGAACGGAATGGCTGACATAATCTTTCTCTATTCAAAATATCAACTTACAATGTCACAGTCGCACCCAAGCCATAGAGGATAAGAGCAGAGCCATCTAAAGCTTGGTCAGTTCACACATGCAAGAACCTTATCTCCTCCAACGTGTTCTGGAGGTTGGCTCGACCTTGTAACTATTTCTGGCTGCGGCTGCCACCTGTACCCTCTCTCATGAAATACCACAGGCTTTCACAAATCAGGCATGTTTACCGACAGTCGACAAAGCGTCACAACAGGGCAACAATGTTGTGCTGCGGAGGGGGAGTGGCACTTCGAGCTTCATAAAGAACCGTTGGTTTTTTGGGAGGTATCCTGTAGTGTTGCCATGATTTTACATGCATCCAGGCGGTCATACTTGACCTCGGAATTGTGCAGAGCTTGACGAGACTTGCGAGAAATTATTCTCGGGAGTAAGGCTTTTTCTACAGACCCGCATACGAAATCGATTGGAAGCTCAAACCATTGGAACCTGTAGGACCTGCCAGGTACTAAGTTCACGGCTCAGAGCCGACATCACTGAAGAACCCAAAACCAGGATGCGCTTTTGCGGCGGAGAGGTGATCTAATATCTCATCGACAGCGATGTAGATATCAAGGTGATAAGGCCGTGGCCGACGCCATGTCGGGCGAAGAAGGGAAGAGAACACCCGGAATAGCCTCGGTGTGAGGTCGCGAGGAAAGAAATATAAAATAGATCAACACGTATGAAATACGGACTCGGGGGCTCTGGGGCTACTGCACCAGGTATTTGGTGGTTAATAGGTCAATTCCATCTTAATCCACCCCACAGCGAGGATTCAATACTGATCGGCTCCGTTGCGGTGAGCAGACCTAGGCATCAATTCCACCCAATATGTCCCCAAACTGACTTCTTTGAATCGATGAGGATTTTCCATCAATTAAGCATTCGGACCCGCATATACGTCGCTGTCCAACACTGACAAACCAGGCTATGAACCATCTCAATCCCTCTTTCCCGTCTTCCCCGCCTTCGCGAAAGCCGCCACAGTCGCCTTACCCGACTGTACGAGCAGGAAGGTCGGAATCACGATCCAAAATGAGTTCAGGAGCACCATGTATCCATAAAAGTAATAGCGCTCTGGCCTGGAGAATTCGAGACCCCGGTAAATATCCTCGTGGAAAAAGGTGCCGTAGTACAGAACGTCGCCGTAGAGCTGGCCGAGGCTGACGACCGTTTGGAGAAAATATCGCGCGGGGTGGTTGGTGGTGATTAGGTAGACAAGGATAAACGAGAGTGGTCCCCAGGCGAAGGCGGTGATGGTCTCCATGCAGACCATGAAGGCGTCGCGAGTGAGATAACGCGAGTCGGAGAGGGAGTATTCTTTCCAGAGCTGGTTGAGGACCGAGGAGCCGCTGGCGACGTGGGTAACGGCAAAGTTGCCTAGATACGGAGGGAGGTAAGGTTAGTGCAAGATGGAGAAAGACTTCTCGTTGAGTGAGGCGCGAATAGGCGAAGGGGGGGCTGGAACCAGGGAGAGGGAGTCAAGAGTAGACGGACCTTCAAGGACGAGATGGATGCATCCGCACAGGACGAACCACATCGCCGTTGTTAGATCGGCGGTGGAGAGCTTGGGCGCCGCGCGTCGGATGAGGAAGAGCGCGGGCAGAAGGGCCCCAGCACAAGCGGTGGAGAAGATGGCGAGGATAGTCTGCGTGGAAAGGGTGTTGGCGACATAGCCCGGAATGTCGACCCCGAGGGGATAGTACGGGTGGGTAGCAGTGATGTTGGCTGCCATGTTGGGCGGTGGGTCACTGATGGGAGCTCGTCGTGGTGTGGTGAGTCTAACTTGTGGGAATAAACAAGTCTTGGACGCGGAGCAGCCAAAAGTGAGAAGAGATTTTGAGGAGAGGTTGAGAGAGTGAGATTCAAGCTTCGAATTGTCCGAAATTGGCGGGGGGGGATACGTACTTATTGACCAATACCAGAGCTACCCTTGCTTCACGCCCAGAACTCCCCTTTCCTACCTCGTACTCGGGTTCACACTTAATCAATTGAGTTCATCTCAAGCCTTCAATGAACGGGTCCCTTGCCGACCGACCAATCCGAGGGACTTTTATTTTGAGCATGGCCAATGGAACAACACAACAATGGTCCAACAAAGTAAACTACACCGACATGTACAGTATTGGGTGGTGTACCGCCCATTTTCAACCCTGTCGCGCACTGCAGTAAGCAGATGCCGCCGGGAAAACCCGCGGACCCCGAGAAGAAAAGGATCCTACATCAAATGTCGCATACCAGACTTGGTCTTGAAGACTATCACATTTATCGCATTCTAACATTTTGACTCATTTCGGAGATATATTGAGGTGCAAACGAGTATTACTTGGTGGCTTTGGAAGTCAAGGAAAGCTGGGGAACGTAGCAGGGTTCCCTTGACTAAAATTGGTGTTTGTCCAGATGCCATTTGATGTTGATGGTTCAATGTCCATTCCCCTTTTGGTTTGGTGGCGATGGCCTCAATAACCTTCGTCAAAACAGGTCCCTGTCGCAATTGCCAATCGTGTCCACCAAAATCAGGGACGCCCCACTTCCCGCTCGTTAAACACAACGACATCTCCGAAAAGTCTCGCTCTGATTCGCTCAACATGCTTATGTCATTGAAGAGATGAAGTACTTTGTATTCATTCTCTGGACTCATTGAGCTCCCCCTCAGATTATCGGACTACCTTCTCTATATTTCCTACTCCTGAGATCAATTGAAGCGATATTGTCGCGGGATACCTTTATAAGCCTAGCCCAACACTCTCTCCAAACCTTCCGCTGCATGCTTGCCCAACAATTCCAAGTTGCCCATGCCCAACAGCTCCAGGACAGTAATATCAAACCCAAAAGCTTGACGCCACCAATTCCGCATCTCAACGCCCACTAGCGAATCCACTCCCAGCTGCGACAACGGCACACCCAGGCACGCGTCCAAGTCCTCGATGTTCCGGAGCAGGAACGTGAACAGCTTGCGGCCGATCTCCCGCGAAAGGAACGCCGCCGTCTCATCTTCACGGAGTACGGCATTCGCGCCTCCCTCCTCGGCGACGCCCGCTGAGCGGACTTTGGCGATGAAGGCCTGGAGAGCGTCGGCGTTGCTGCTGCCTTGATCGCCTTGAGAGGAAGAAAGATTCGTGGCATTGTGGTAAATTGCCAGCCTCCTATCCTTGCGGAAGAATGCGCGGTTCTCGGGGTGGCTGAGCGGTATGCTCGTTCCGACACCGATCATGAACTGGCGCTTTTCGACGAACCCTGCTGTGCCGGAAGGAGCCGATCCATTCGAGGTGATGACGCCGGTGGTATTGGTCCCGTTGATTGTTATCGCTGCCGAGATGGTTTCAAGCAGCTCCAGCTCCGTGACCATTTGCGCCTTGGCCTGCTTCACCCTCTTCATCAAACCTTTATCGAGCGAGGCCGCACCGATGTCCCCCACCACGCCGATGTCGACGGCGGCAGCCGGCAGACCTAGGTTGATTCTGTATTGCACAAAGGCGTCGAGGAATGTGTTCGCGGCACAGTAGTTGGCTTGGCCGGGCTGGCCCAGGATACCCGACAACGAGGAGAATAGCACAAAGAAGTCGAGGTCAACACCGGCTGCCAGTGCGGCCTCGTGAAGGAGCCAGGTGCCACGTACTTTCGGCGTCACGGCCGCCTCCCAATCTTCTAGGCGCATGCGCGGGAAAGCCTCGTCCCGCAGGACCATGGATAGCTGCAGGATGCCCTTCAAAGCTGGACCGGCCAACTTCACGGCGCGTGCTACGTCGTCCGCGCTAACAACGCTGCCCTTAACTACACCTACCTCGCAGCCCATGCTCTCCAGCTCACGCACCAAATCGACGTCTTCCGGGCGTTCTCCCCCCTTTCTGGAGAGGAAGATGAGACGCCGGGCGTTGTGCTCGACCAGGTGGCGCGCTACAGAATGGCCCAAGCCACCGAAGCCTCCGATGAGCAGGTACGATGCCGAGCTGTCCAGTTCGAGTTTTTTGAGGCGTTTGGCGAGAGCTGACGTGTCGACTTTGACAGTGCCATCTTCGTCTCGCATTGAGATGACAATCTTCCCCATGTGTTGGCCTTTTTGCATGTATCGAAATGCAGCTTCGATCGACGAGGCGTCAAACGCCTTGATAGGTCGGATTGGCTTGATATGGCCTTTTTCAAAGTACTCCATGACCGATCGAAGAAGCCTGGAGTAGTACGTTAGATATAAATAGGAAGGGGTTGGATGGAAAATCGCATCTGGGTACTCACTCTTTACAAGCCTCGGGCTTCTTGGCGTTAAGCTCATCCAAGTCAAAGCATGAATAGGTTCGGTTGGCAAGGAAGACATCCATATCAAGTCGACCTTTGCCTAGGAGGTCACGCTTCCCGATTTCTACCATGGTACCAAACTCGGCCACGCAGCGCCAGGTCGCGTGCAAGAGCTCTCCCGATAGAGAATTCATGACCAAGTCCACACCCTTGCCATGGGTCTCACGCATCAAGCCGTCCACAAAGGTTGTGTCGCGGGAGTTGAAGATTCGGTCTGCGGGCAGACCTATCGTGTCGGTCAGGTATCTCACCTTCTCCTCGCTACCGACCGTAGCGAATATCTCGGCTCCGACCATCCTCGCAAGTTGGATGGCAGCGAGACCAACGCCACCGCAAGCACTGTGGATGAGTACGGTCTAGATAATAATTGCTAGGTTAGATGTGTTCCTCGTCTTGGTTTTATGATAAAGGCTTCGACTCACCTGTCCTTTTTGTAGACGACCTATGCTGATCAAGGCTGCAGCCGCAGTCGCAAAAATAATGGGCATCGCTACGGCGTCTTCGAAGCTCAGGCCATCAGGAATCCTCTCGGAGTATCTCTCGCGGATCACGGTGTGCGTTGAAAAGGCACCTTTGCCCAAGAACATGATGCGATCCCCTGGAATGAGGTCCTTCGCCTCAGGACCAACACGGGAGACGGTGCCGCTCGCCTCGAGGCCTAGGCCCTCTTCAGGGAAGGCAACGATACCAAGGGCACACAAGACATCCTGCAAGATTTCGTGTTACAACTCTAAGCACGGACCAAAGGCTATAAAGCATGAGAAATAAACTTACTCGGAAGTTCAGTCCGGCAGCGTGAATCTCCACCTCCACCTCATCGCCGATCAACGGTCTCGCGGCGCGAGGCGTCCATCGCAAAGACGTCAAGCGCCCAGGCTTGGCCATTTCCAGATGCACGTGGTCCAAGTTGTCCTCAGCCACTTCCTCCTTCAGAGAGATGGGGTAGATGCGACCAACAAGAACGGTTCCGTCAACAATAGCATACTCCATGTCCGCATTGAGAGATCCATCTTGCTCGCGCGTCTGGAACTGTGCGAAGACGTCGATGATGCGGTCGACCGAGGAAACCATATCATCCACCTCGCACGTGGCCAAGTCCACCAGCAGTTCGTTGCGGAGCTCGCGTGCGGCACCAATGATTTGGGCGTACCTCGGGTCGTGGCAGCGGACCTGGCATGGATGTGTCACCCATAGCAGACCCGAACCGCCAAGATTGTTTATCAGGCCCTGGAATGCTTGGTACCTCTCTTCATCAATGTCGGCCAGGAAGGGGCGCTCGATATCCAGAAGGGATATTATGTCCTGAGATGTTGGTAGTTCGTCGCCGAGCTGACGCCGTTGGACGGTGTAACCCCTGGCATGCAGTTGCTGGGAAAGAGCACCGGCAAGTTCAGGTTGACCGTCACGGTCGCTCAGAATCGTGACTGTCTTCTTTCCGCCTTCACCATTTTGTCGCGAGCTAACAGTCTGCGCCCTAGCGACCATGATGGCGTTGACCTGATGCGGCTCTTCGGCGTCAAGTGCAACCGCATCGAGACCTGCAAAGCCTGCCCCTATCAACTCTGATTCCCACCGTTCCGGAGAAACGAAAGGTTCATCCGGTCGGCCATCTGCCTCGCCATACCACCAGCCCGGGAGAGTGCCAAACACATAGTTGGGCCACTTGGAAGGAGAGAAGAGCTCGTGGAGAAGCAGTCTACCGCCGGGTGCGAGCAGCTGGTTCACGTTCTCCAGGCTTTCACGCAGACTCTTGGTGGCGTGGATCACATTCGTAGCAATGACGAGATCATATTTCTCCCCGTCAAAACCTTGCTCGGCCGGGCTTTTGCTGATATCCAGTGTGCGATACTCCATGTTAGGGACGTCCTTAAACAACTCCTTAGCCGCGACGAAGAATGCCGACGAGATGTCAGTGAAAGTATATTTGGAGAATAGGGCTTGGCCCGTTGGCCCGGGCAGTTTCAAGTGCTTCAGCATGCTTGAGGTAGAAGCGCCTGTGCCCGCACCGATCTCCAGAATCCGAATATTGGGCTTGGTGTGGGTAAGGTGACGCATAAAATCGGATCTATCGCAAGCGTCGGTTGCGACGTAAAGTTTGGTGAGGGTGTCGTCTGCCAGCAGTATGCCAAGCGCCTCAGTCTGGCCGGTGAGCAGACCTACGATATTGGTAACTACCTTTTGCATGGCGACAGCGCAGCCTACCATGGGAGTCTCGGACAGCTGCTGAACGAGAGTGTTTACTCTGTCTATGAGGAATTGATCGCCCAGGGCTATGGTGTCCGGATAGGGGCCTGCCCTGACGACTTGCTCTTGGTCCCGGATCCAAGCCTTGAACTTCTTCATGTGGTGTAGCGTGGGTTCAACAGTCTGGATATGCCGATGGGAGTACACGACACATAGCCGAACAAGCTCATTCATGGCATCGGTGTACAGATGACGAGGAATGGATGGTCGGATAAGGTTGGCGGCATCCAAGAAGTCAATGTGCGGGCCCCATGTAAGCCGCGCAGTGGCGGAAAGGCTGTCCGTCTCTGGCGCCTCGGCCTCCTCGAGGGGCGAAAGCTTCAAGCCCTCCATGTGGAAAACTACCTTGCCCTCGGCCAATATTTCCTGTACTTGGCCGACGACATCACGACTGCCCTTGACCAACGTTGCTGAAGTTGTCACACTCAGGTTGACATTGGGATCAGAAGAACGCATCCACAACCAGTCGATCTTAGTTGGCACTCTTCGGTATTCTTTCGCTTCGACCCGGCCTCTGAGGGCGGCAAGTGCCGCCGATTGGAGGGAGGCATCTACTATGGTTGGGTGCAAGTGATAGTGCTTCTCATCCCCAATCGTGACGTCGTCTATGTCAGCTGTAGCTAGGCACTCAAGAGTGCCGGTTCGCAGGCCCCGAAGGCGTTGGAAGCGAGGTCCGAACTGCAAGCCTGCGTCGCTCATTATCCTGTAGAACCTATGCCGGTCCATCTTCCGGGGCAGGTTTGTCAAGTCCGCAGTCTGCGTCTGCGCTGGCCGCGACGTTTCCGTCGTGGAAGAGACTTGGCCGGTGCAGTGCTTCGACCACAAATGGCCGTTGTGCGAGGCGATGGTGAATTCCCACCACTGACTGTCAAGCGAGTCGGTGAGACGGTACGGCCGGAAGGTTGTCACCAGTTCCGTGGGCTTTCCTTCATTCAGGACTAGGGCGGCAGCGATCACCACGTCACGGAGAGCAAAGCCATCTTGCCTACCACTGATCTGTCTTATACCCTCACCGACCATGGCTAGATAGCCTGCACAAGGGAAGATGGTATTGCTCTCGATCTTGTGATCCCGGAGCCAACTGGCGTCCTTGTCAACGTGAAGAAGGTTTCGCCAGCTAGGCTCCAGACTGGTGCTCTCGAGCTGGCGAATGCCCAGGAGTGGATGACTTGGGAACTCACGACATCGCCATTCATGCGCCATTCTTGATTCCTTCCAGTAGTCGCCCTCGTGGTCCCAAGGATACGTGGGTAAGCCCGGGAGGCAGCGTCCAGGTAGTATGAGTGCCTTGAAGTCTACGGGCATGTTGAGCTCGAAAAGCGTTCCGATAGCAGTCAAGAATGATTCCACGCAGTCCTCGCCACGCTTCATGGCCGACACATACGGCGCTGAGCGAGAAGCTTCTGTCAAGATCTGCCTCACGGGACCTGCGAGGGCCGAGTGTGGTCCAATCTCCAAAAAGGCCACGTTTTCCATCTGACCGAGAATGCTCGAAACAGCGGATTTGAAGAGTACCGGGGACTCGAGGTTTGTCTGCCAGTAGACCGGATCCAGAGCCGCCTCATGCAACTTTCCGGTGACGCTGGAGAAGAAGGATTTCTGGGGTGGCTTGGCCACCAACTCGGATCGTACCGTAGCATAGTATTCCTCTCCAACCTCTTGCATGTGGTGGGAATGGTAGGCCTTGTCGACCTTCAGAAGTCTTGCCAAGGCGTGAGGATACGCTTTTTTGATGTTTGAGACAGCCTCTTCGACCTCGGCTGTATCACCAGACAAGGTGACACTCTTAGGCGAGTTCTCACAGGCAACAACAACCTTGGGACTCAGGAATTCTCGGACGTCGCCCCAGCCCAACCCGATAGCAGCCATAGCACCGGGTCTAGTCTGTTTCGCTGCAGCAAGGCCGCGTCGCCAACCTGCGACGATAGCTTCCTTGGAAGTGAGAGCCCCAGCGGCGTACGCGGCCACAATCTCTCCGCTGCTGTGGCCCACGACGGCATCCGGTTTTATGCCGGCGGCCGCGAAAAGATCCACCAGGGCAATCTGTACAGCGGTGCATAGAGGCTGCGATAACTCTGCGGTCTGCACACGTGATGTCTTGGCTGGTTTGAGCAGTTCTTCTTCCAGCGTCCACGGTGGGATGTCGGGATACTGAGCCTCTTGCAGGTATTGGTCGAGGGAGCGGATGCTCTTCTGGAAAGACAGATCGGAGCGCAGGAGCAGTTCTCGGCCCATGCGCGGCCATTGAGCTCCTTGTCCTGTGAATACCATGACCAGATTGGGTCGTTGGTCGGCTGCCCTTCTTCCCGGGGACGGCGTGCCGGATTGGTCTGTGGAAGCGACCATAAAAGACCGATGTGGGAGATGCTCCCTTCGGTTGGCGAGCGTGTAGGCGAGGTGTTGGAGATAGTCAGATGGCTCGGGATCATTGAGCTTTTCGCTAACCCAATCTTGGAAGCTCTGCGTCATCTTTTGCAATGACGAAGCTGTATTGGCTGAGAAGACCAACAACTGTGGCCCGGTTCCAGAGGGAGCTCTTGGTATGTCTGGAGAGGCAACAGTGGTAGCAGTAGAATGACCGTTGGCAGAAAGACCTGCTCTTTCGGTCTGGAAGCTGCGAGCCGAGTCGAGAATGACATGGGCATTGCTCCCTCCAAGGCCGAACGAGTTAATGCTAACCCGTTCATGGCGAGTCTCGGGCCAAGGAATTGGCTCTAGAGGAACTGTTAAGTTGCGTTCTTGGAAGGGAATTTTCGGGTTCGGGGTCGAGAACTTGATATTAGGAGGGATGGTCTGGTTTTCGAGACTCAATACCGCCTTGATCAGGGAGGTAATGCCCGACGCACCCTCTGAGTGGCCCAGATTCGGTTTCACGGAGCCAATATAGACTCCCTCGTCACCACCGAAAACGCCGGCAATGGCCTTGGCCTCGAGAGGGTCTCCGATAGGGGTGCCAGTCCCATGGCACTCCACAAAAGCCGTTTGGGAAAAGTCGGTAATACCAGCCGCCTCATACGCCTTCCTGATCATGGCTTCCTGGCTTACAGCGCTAGGTACCGAGATGCCCTGTGTTTTCCCATCGCTGTTGGTCATGGTGGCGCGAATCACGGCTCGGATGGGGTTCCCGTCCCGCACCGCTGCATCCAGTGGCTTTAGATAGACGGCCGAAATGGCCTCGCCGCGGGCGTATCCGTCAGCTTCGGCCGAAAAGGTCTTGCAGGAGCCTTCAGGAGAAAGGACGCCCTTTTCAGTCATGAAGGTTGTGAGGCCGGGTGCGAAAATCAAGTTGGCGCCGCCTACGACGGCGGCTTCACAGTCGCTTCTTTGGAGAGCCACGCAGGACTCATGAAGGCCAACCAGTGCGGATGAGCAGGCGGTGCGGATCGTCATGCTAAACCAGACTCAAGTCAGTAAGTGCGTAAAGCAGGAAGTGACAAAGCAGTAGTAGCAAGTAAAGTAGGTATACCTCGGTCCGCGCAAGTCCATTTCGTAGGAGATGCGGTTAGACAACATAAAGTCATTGTACCCATCGACCTTGCTAGGCCCAGACTGCTGAGGATCTCGGCTCTGAACCTCCAACCAGTCCTCACCATAACAACCCATGTAGCAGCCGATGGTGCGTCCCCTGAAGCCGACCTCGCCAGCATCGTCCAAACACTCCCTGACGACTTCGAGCATGAGCCGCTGCTGGGGATCCGCAGACTCGAGCTCGGCACGACTAAAAGAGAAGCGCGAGGTATCCAGAGCGCCTAGTTTGATGCTCTCGTCGAGGAAATAGCCGTACTCCGTGGCAACAGTGCCCGGTCGCCCAGACTCGGAGTGGTATGCAGAGACATTGTAGCGTGACTCGGGCACGCGAGTCCTCGCGTCTCCCCCGGCTAGAAGAAATTCCCAGAGTTGCTGTGGGTTTTCCAAGCCTCCGGGAAGCCGAAGAGCCATGCCGCAGACGGCAATGGGGGTGGCGGCAGGCACTCCGGATCCGGCGGCCTGACGTGTCCCGTTGACACCATTACGTTGACTCCCAACGGTACCGTTTGTCCTCGGAACTGCGGAGCCGTTGACGTGGCCATTTTGCCCAGAAGAGTTACCAACAATTCCGTCGAGATGCGCGGCCATGTTTAGTTTTAGACACTGACTGTGAGACTGATCAATAGGAACTAATGAGTAGAACGATACTAGAGCGTGTCAAAAATTGGAATAGGAGGGAATGATGTCTTCCAAGTCTCGTCAAAAGGGGGCAGCAGAGATCTCGAGGTCAGCGCTTGTGTATAATGTTATACCTTACCTTACCGAAGCATTCTAGTCTAATTGCTCGCCTCTACTTATAGGAGACGAGTATAAGCATCGTTGTACCGGTACTATCGCCATTAGCTATCCAGTATCACCTCCTGTCACCCCCGTGGGTTCGCTCTGCTTCCATATGTGCCTCCAGCTCGACCTAAGCACCGTACAAAATCCCTCAAGCTCCCGATAACATGCTTCTCCCAGGATCAAGGCGCAGTCATCTCGGAGCCTACTGCATCCTTCAGGAATAAAATCACACCTCCCACCTTTCCTCATCGAGCGCTGAGCTCTCGCAATCCTCGTACCTTTCTAATGTTTGTCAGATTTCGACTATCAGCAGCATCGCGGGACGTCTCGCTGCCGTTTCCACCGGGCGGCCGAAGAAGAGGGTGGGCCGGTGGGGGTTGACAGAGTGAGCAAGGCCGACATGTCGGGTAGTACAAAGCCGGCCTGACCGGGCAGGACCGGTGAGATGGCTGGCAAGTGATTTGGGCGTAAGCATAACCCCCTCAATACCATCAATATAGTGAAGAACGACACACTCTTCCGATTCTCGGAACCAGTCTCTGCCCCAGGTGGTTGTGATGATGTTCTCCTATAGGGTCGACGTGCGTGCTCTGCGCCGCAGGTTTCGGCAAGTGAGTGTCCAAGACTAGCCTACGAGATCTTTCAGCGGCCGGTCGCTCATGCCTGCGCAAATTGCCGAGGGAATAGCTAAATGTGATAAACATAAAGAACACGGATCATTCTCGGATTGGTGGTCAGGGTGGTGCAGTATCACGCATACGAAGGATCATGCTGGAGAACCCGGGCGTTGTCTGTCAGATGTCGGGTCCGCCGGCGCTTTCCGCTCGTGGAAGATGTGGCACAATCAGTTCATCTCCATCGAGCAGTACTTCCATTTGGCCGAATATGGATGTGGGAAGAGACGATTATTGGAAAGCGACGACAGTGACTACGAAGAAGACCCCGCCTAATGCACAAGAGGTCACTGAGGACTTGGTAGGCCGATTCGATGGTATGGTGGATGGCAGATGTTGTAGTCGGGTAGAGGTTAGAGAGTATGCTAGACATACTTCATGCTTGGATGGAACACGAGTTTCTGTATATTTTCGTTTCAGAGGTGAGAAGGCTAGCTCGATCATCGAGGGGCTGCAGTATCGTTTTATCACTAGAGTTAGCCTGGCAAGGGTCAATGACAGGCAAGCAATGCCTCAACTTCGATACAACATGAGAGATTATATCAATATATTTGACTCTTGGATATATGCAACTATGAAGTATTCCATGCCTTTCTCCACGGTCGCGCGTATCCAGCCCGCCCGAGACTGACCCTTTATCTCGACAACTTGCAGTCGATCTCGCTCTAATCAGCTCCGTCGTTCATCCCAGCTCACTCAGCACTAACTTCAATGAGCTAGCGTAGATGCCGACGATGCGATACCTCCGCAACCCCCACCACTCGGGTGTTAGGTATTGCGGGCCGCTCCGCATTACCCATGGCTAGTTGATTGGATGATAAGACGGAGCGGGAACACCAGGGGCAGGGCCAGGACAGGACAGGGAGGACCGGCGAGAGCAAAGGTACGAAGTAGGGCAGCGTATGAGGGCCACGGGACGCAGCTGTGTGGCGTGGTAACATTGAACAATTTTTATCAAGGAAACGAGTTGAAACTTTCCTTGGCAGTGCTACAGAGATCGACGGAATAAGAAGAGTTATTTCGAGCAAGATCCGCACACCCTCCATGTCTCCAATTCCGTTATATTGACGCGAATAAAAAGCTCACGATGAGCAGCTTCTGCATATGCGGGAAGAAAGCTTAGCAACCTTCAGCCATGTTTAGCGAACTTTTGCTTCGGTGATCGGCTAACGTTTCTTTTCCTGGCTATTATTCCCTGACACTCTCGCGGAAACTTGCTGTCTAGACAAGAACTCTCTTCCTCGATAACGCAATCGGGGTAAATGGTTGTAGAAGCTTGATGGATAGCTCGCCGAAGCAGAGAGATGGCCCGGAGATGAGGACGGAAAGACATGGTGGTCAGCTTCTCGAGGAGTTCTCGTCTGGGTCACATTTCCAATTCACGCGTCTGATCATGAGATCCCGCAACAGAGTCCTCTCATGTTGCCCTCCATAACCGTTCAACGGCAAATCTTTACTCGATGTTTTTGTTTCTATTGTGTAATTCCATCGTGTTATCGTGTCTTCCGTTCATCCTGACCACCCCAATGCATGAGCGGAATCCTGAAGCCGTCTCCGAATGCGGCCAGACGAGAAGCATTATTCACAATAGGGTCATCGAACTCGAAAGCGGAGAGCGCGTCAACTCTCCAGAGTCTAAGCTCTGTTCTTCACGTAGAAACAGCGAGGGAGAGAGAAAAAGGAACCCGGCTGCACCAATGGCTGCCACACCGAACATCGCGCAGTGGAACGGACGCCGCAGAGTCAAACAGAAGTAATCAGAACATGAACATTTAGCAAAAGGGATAGCAGATGGAATCTATATCGTAGTCTTGGCTGCAGATTTTAACGTACTATTGACTATTCCGGCTCATCATAACACCCCATCAGCTATAGGATATCATCTACAACTGCTAAACTTAGAAACGCATTCAACGCCTAACTCATGGACATACGGCCACCAATCGATGTTATCATTCCCCATCCCCTCTCAGCGAGCCCATAGGGAAACTTATGGCATTTCCGACTTCATTCAATCATGTTGATTTGGCCGTCTCAACAGACCCTCCGGGCTTCATTGCAGATATGGCAAGGTATCGCCAAAGGTCGTGATGGCGGTATGCTGCCACAATACCGACAAGATTGGCAAAGTACTTCTCTAACCCCAAGAATGAAACCACGACCCAGGGCACGTAAACCAGCATGTAGAAGAATTTGATCATGGGCTTAATGTTGGCGGTGTAGTCGCGGATGACCACGTCCGTAAACCCGGCCTCCTCCAGCATGCTCTGGAGAACGATGGGTTGCGGCTTGGGAATGCCCGCGGACGCAGCACCATCGGTGTTCTTGCGCAATGCATTGGCCAGAACATCGGCCGAGTCTTTGACAAAGTCGTGGTTGTGCTCGAATAAGGCAATACGGCCTCCTGGTTTGAGCAGGCGATAGAATCCCTTCAAAACGGTGTCTACGTCGGAAGCGTGGATCAAGGTCTGCAATGTGTACACTCCATCAAAAGACTCCGCTTCAAGGCTCTCGAGATGGTGATAGTCCATCAAGCGTGCTTCCACCTGGCCGGCGGGAAGCTTCGCCTTGGCAGCCCTGCGGGCGGTCTCTTTCACGTGGTAGTCGACAATGTCAATGCCCAGGATGTGGTAACCGTATTTCTTGGCGAGATAGAGAGCTTGAGTCCCGCCGCCGCATCCTGCATCAAGAATTCGTGCACCTGGGGGAAGATCCAAGGCTTTGGCCACCCTGTCTTCCATGGCGCGAAGGGCGCGGCTGATGGGGAAAGGCCAGCTTGTGTCAACCTTTTCCCAATAGCCAAAGTGACGTGCGCCACCGAGAAGGTAGTCATAGCCAAGCCTCGATTCAAGAGAGAGGTAGTAAGACTGAAGTTCGGGGTTTGAATCGATCACCGGTTGAGCAGAATTGTGCGCCATGACAGGCATCGATGGGGGTATGATAACAGAGAGTAACTGGTTTGCGTGCGGTCTGTTGTTGGCGGTTTTACGGGGCAGAGGATTTACTTTACATACTTCAGTGTTGACTGTGTCCCGAATCTCCTGTCGATGCACCTTTAGCAAGTAAGTACATAGTTTGTGTTTACCTCTTCAAGCTCCTCGGGCTACTCGAGCCGAACCGCCGAAGCGACAAGGGCCAGGGTTCGAAGATGAGGCCACCGCCCGCATGAAGACTATAGATGCGGCACCTGCAGGAAGCGATGCAGTCATCTGAAGGAGTAGCTCCTACTGCACTCCTGCACTACTGCATCCTGAAGACTCGACAAAAATATCACCTGCATGCAATATCACTTGCATATGAGTGCATACGAGCCATTGATGATGTGAGACTTACTTGAACGTGCAAGCGACGACTTGCACCCGCTTCACCTCACTCTCACCCCATCCCTTCCGAGCCCGGAGAAGACTTCACTCCAATATTCCAAATTCACGCTCTTCCATAGCATAGGTACTGAGTACGTCCTCGTTAACGTCGGACGAATATCCTAAGTATTTTTCATGCTATAATTTTGCAACTTTCATGGCCATCAAGACATCTGGTGTTGTCCCGCCAAAGCTAAATATGTCTGAAACGACGTGAACGAGCATCCCAGGAAATGAAGCTGTTCGCTTATAAGACAAGTCCTCCTGTCAAACCCGTCTGACCCTCTAACCCTCTGGCCCCATAGCCATCTATCTCTACTTCCCATTCAAAGTATCTCATCTAAGCTCCCAAAGAACCTTTTCTATCATGTCTACATTCGTCCAGTCATGGGCCAAGGCCCAGGCCCAAAAGTCCCAAATCCACAGCTCCAAAAATGCCCCAATCTTCTTCCGCAACCTCGAAGCAGAGCTCGATACTCTCAGGGAGAATCAGCGCTGCCTGTCCATCCACAGCTACCCCGGCCTAGGAAAGGACATGATTGACTTCGCCTCCGCCGACATGCTCGGGCTTGGCACCTCAGGCAGGATGCGTGAGGCATTCATGGAGGAGCTGGCGCAGAACCCGGACTGGTGGGTGAGCGCCTCCGGTCCGCGGTTGACCTTTGGCAACTCCAAGTATATGGAGGACTTGGAGCATGATATTGCTGAGTTCCACGGCGCTGAGACGGCGCTGATGGCTGTTAATGGTGGGATGGCGAATGCGGCCATCTTTACTGCCATTCCGCGTGCCGGCGATGCTCTCGTGTACGATGAGTACATCCACGCAACTGTGCACGACGGCATGAAGAACAGCCTCGCGCTGGTCAAGAAGGCCTTCCTCCATAATAACTTAGACTCGTTCCGGGACACCTTGGAGTCCGTCCGCAATTCCCAGCCACTCATCCGCAATGGGAAGCGGTGTGTTCTTATTGCTGTCGAAGGCATCTACAGCATGGACGGAGACGTGTGTCCTCTGGAAGAGCTCGTAAGCATAGCCAAGGAAATCTTCCCTGATGGCAACGCGCAGTTCGTCATCGATGAAGCCCATTCCCATGGCGTCATTGGGCCGAAGGGTGCAGGGCTCGTTTCTGCTCTGGGGCTTGAAAAGGAGATTGCCATCCGGATGCACACACTTCCGAAAGCCATGGCAGCCGGTGGCGGTAAGTCCATACATGAACCCTCTCTGTTTCTCTGTTTATCGCATGTTACAGACAAAGGCTATGAGTCTTCAAGACGGTCAGTTCCAGCTAACACCTTCCTTAGCTGTCATCATGTGCAACAATACTGTTCGAAACATGCTCCTAAACTTTGGGAGAAACATTCTGTTTTCTGGTGCACCAGGCTTTCCTCTATTAGCGGCAATTCGCGTCGGGTACGACTTTTTGCAAAGCGGCGAGACGCAGCAGGTATGCTAAGCCACGAAATAGAAGAACCAAGCACGTTCCCATCGCTGACATTAATTCGTACGTGTATTAGGCACAAGACAGAATAAAATACATGGTCCAACTCTTCAAGGACAAACTGACATCCCACCCAGTCTGGGACGCAGCCAACGACGCCAAAATCCTGCGTGTTCCACTCTGGGACCAAGACGAGCAGGAACAGCGCTTCTGGACTCCCATCGTCCCCATACTAACGCGCCCCAACACGAAGCACAACGTCTACCTTGCCTTCCATCTACAGCTCAACGGGTTCATTGCTTACCCTGTCTACTTCCCCGTCGTCCCCAAGTCGGCGGAGAGGGTGAGGATCATTTTCCATGCTTCGAACACTGACGAGGAGATTGAGGCCATTGCTGCGTCTATTTGTGCCTGGGCGGAAGAGATGCTTGAAATTGATGAGGAGGGTACTGCGGGTGTTAGAGTGCCGACTGCTGCTCGCCAGGCGTATGCCATGATGGAGAAGGAGAGGTTGAATGGGTCAGCGTAGAGAATGAGGTCTACCCCGTGAACGGGTTGGAGGCGTGGGTGAACTGGGGGAGTCCTTGAGAAGATCTGCGATGGGTACACAGATGTAGTTGACTTTGGGGTTTCTGCCAGTAGCTTGAGCCGTAATTGAGACCTCCACACCGCCTCTCGACGTTGGTAGAGTCTACGGCGGTCACCGGGCTCGTGGCCAACTGTAGGCAGGCAAATCTCACCTATCAAGCTACCATCTGCCAGCATCTCTCGGCATTTTCTTCATCGAGGAGCAGATGGCTTCGGCTCTTCCGCCACTATAGATACTCCATAGCTGCTCTACATGTTATATCCTTGACAATGGCTGTCCAAGTAGAGGTGTTACGACAGATACTCTTGGCGAGGACAGTGCTGCATTGGAGAGAAGTGTCCTCGTCAATTCTGATGACGGTCAGTAGTCACAGTATTCCACAAGTAATATTAATACGTGTTCATAATGAGGAAGGGTGATCGTATTCTCTATCTACTATATCCCAGTGGGAACTGCTGTCCCCTAAAGACTGCCTAGGTCACTTGTGGCGGTGGCAGCTCTTCCTTGGTCAATTATACGGGCTCGCCATAGTGAGTTCTGGCAGTTGTGAACTAGTGACGGTCGCGAAAGCTGCTGTTCTCGTTGAGAGCGGACCTTGCGTATAACTGGGGAGAAGGCCAATTGTCGTCGAGGAGTTGACAACGTCAATTTTTTGAAGGTCTTCGGTGCGTTAAAGGACGTAGGGCGTACCCTTCACAGCTTCGGGTTGGCAATAGGGAATGACCATGGCAAGGTAGCCAGCTACAGAGTTTTTTGCCCCAACACTATCGACATGACACAATCCGAATATCAACCAGGCCTTGTCTGTTCTTACCTCACTAGCTGGTGTCAAAAATCGGGTTAGCAATTCCAGTTATTGGGTTAGCAAATCCAGTTATCGGGCTAGTAAATCCAGTTATCGCCAACGGATAGGATTTCTAGATCTGAAACCCTGGTCATTGTTTGCAGACAAATACAAATAGATGAGAATGATGTCAGAATCCATGAACTTGAATTTCTGTCTTCATCGCTCAGACCCGTCTTTTGTCTATTTATAGAAGAAGTCCCCTGACAGTGGGGGGTGGCTAGGCGCCAAGAGAGATCAAGATGCAACATCAGGCATGCTCCAAGTGCTGATAGCGCCATCTCGACACCACTGCCTCGAGGCCTGCAAGCCAACTGTGACAATCAGAACAGCTCTGAGTGGTCATGGTGAATAAATGGACCCCACGCCCCCTTCTGACCCCTGACTCACTCCAGCTCCTTCAGAATGAGAGTTCTAGTAACACCAGTGAATATACTTCATAACTGACGCCTGGCTGATCTTTTTCTCCGCGAACTCTGAAGAAGTCACGTCTCAAATTAACCCCCAACCCCCGCGGCCCAAACATTCATAGAGAAGCGCATCTCTTGTTCCCAACTTTCTTAGGCAAGAAATTCGTGGAACCATGTTACAGCCTGAAGGAATGCCTGTTCCTTGGCGAATCTTTCCACCTGGACATCGGCCCGTCCGCGGACAGCGAAGCCGTGGGCGACGCCAGAGAACAGGGTGATCTGGTAGGGGTGACCAGTCTCCTTCAAAATCTCCTCCGACCTGTGACGCTTCTCGGGAGGGAAGATGGGATCGGTTTCCGCGGCCGCAATAGAGAGAGGACCTGTGATGGCCGCGAGTTCCTCTTCTTCAACAAGGGTTGGGTGGGCAACATAGCCAACATCGATTCCGTCCTTGTAGTGACGAACAAGGTACTAGTGCCGAGGTCCCAAGTAAGTATCGACGGACACGTTATGAAAAGGGTCTGTTGTGCATTCACCAACCTTGGCGCCAAAGCAATATCCTACAGCACCCACGCGCTCAATTCCGTACTCTTCCCTCAAAGTCTTGATCGCGGCGACGATGATAGGATCCACAGCTTCCTTCGTGTGTGGGTTCTTGCCGTCCGAGCCATGGTTGAGCCAAGCTGTGAAATCGAAGTCGGCGGGCCGGTTCAGATCCAGAGGATCGCCATTGAACTCGTCGATTACAAGAGTAAGGTAGCCGTTGGCAGCGAACTGATCAGCCAGGAGCTTGGAATTTTGCCAGATACCTATAACGTCGGGGCAAAAGAGGATGCCCTTGCCTGTCCTGGTGTTGTCGGGCGGGGGAGTAGCGAGATAGGCGTCCCATTTCCCAGCAACCTTGATAAGCTGGCCGACGGGCTCTCCGCTTTGAGTATTATCGGTTAGCTAGTCTACGGCGCGAACAAGAATCGCGGAATACTCCACGAAAATATCGAAAAAGCTTCAAAATTTGTCCCATTGTGAGGGTTTATTGTCTCGTCATGCGGGGTGGTGCTTGAGCTTACCTGTGCTTGACGCCAATGGTACAGCACTGCGCAGGAGGATGAGAAGCCATCGATGGTTGATAAGACGAGTCACCTAGGAGATTTATACTGAGTTGATGGATATTTCGACCTTCTTTTTCCCTTTCTGTCTCTCGGTTAATGATAGGTGCCTTGTTTGTTCGGATCTGTAGCTCTGATGGTCTGGATATCTACCCCGGCACCAAGTGTTACATATTTGGATGTGCCTTCCCCGCAGCATCTTCGGCAAGAACTCGTTCTCACCAAAATGTTCAAGCACGTCAGTGACGCTGATTTATAATACATTCCGCGTCACCAAGGACCGGCCTTCGCGGTGACAGATGCACGGATGCGACACTGCATTGATATGTATTATATGTATTGCATATTGCGTGAGATAGACAGCCCGCCTTCATCTATTGGGCGCTGTTTCCGACGAACTTTTCCATAAATAGTATTACTGGTCAACCGTTTGGGCAAGCCCAAGAGACAAATGCTGCTGTTTGTCCAGTACCTGTAGAATCCGCGCTGGTTTAGCTACCTTGGACCCTGCGATCATAGTACAGGTCGGTGGAAGCTGAGCGGTCCATGAAATCAATGAGTGATCGGCGGAACGTGGCAGGGCTGGGAGGAAGCAAAGTGGCACCAACCCCCAGCAGCATCTCCACGTGGATTCAGTTCTAGTGCCTTGGGAATTGGGAAATAACCTTAATGTTCTTGACAGGGATAAAGAGGTTGGCTGAAGACTGGGGAAGTGAATCCGCATCTCAGGTAGGCTGAGTGGTGAGGCACCAGAATACGAGACGGACTTGCTTCGCGCAACTTACATGGCGTCTACTAAGAAGTTAAGAGTGGAGGTCGGTTCAAATTCCAATTGTAACCGGAGATTCAAGGGTCGCTCATACACGCACTCAAGAAGCATCGGGTGCGTTCGTATAAATTATTTAGCGGCGGTCTTCCAGATGATTGAAACAATCCTTCCCTGGGTTTGGTGAGGGTACATGGATATTCTAGCCGCCTAATGCTTGCCTGGAATCGGGAATCGCGGAAAGGAGGGACATGAGAGGGGTCATTTCGGTCCACCAGTGGACCGAAATGACAGACAAGTCGGTACTTCGTACTCAGGCTTACGGCACCTTGGTCTAGCCTTGATCTCCTCGAGGCGATCACTTTCTTCAGGTTTAGGAGGGCCAAGGCGTCCCAGGCTAACTGCTGGGGCTCCTCCGTGCCAGCACTCAACTTCGTTCACCTATCATAAGACCCACTCAGGCTCGTGAAGGTAGATTGGGAGAATTCCAAATGCTGGCAGGAATCAGTATTCAGCATTCCATCCTTCAATTGTTGCCGCCGCTAAATCAATCAAATCCACGATTGCAACGATCTTGAATTGTATTACATAAGCCCGCTAGCATCCGCTTTCCGCTTTGGACTGGAGTTCCACATCGAGATCGGCTGGAAAGTAGGTCACGTGCCACGGACCACAGCCGGTGACCTCGACACAGCGAGTCGGGGCGGCCGAGTCTCACAATTCGACCGCGCCGAATGGGACTAGCACCGGTGGTAGCCGACTCAAGATGGGTTTCCAGCTATAAGTAGATTAGTTGCGCTGAGTTCCATGATGTGCCCCTAGGGTAGTTGCCTTTGTAGTGCACCAGGGAATCGAGACGATGGTCCTTTGCATCTCCAGAAAACGTCTGGTGGAACTGTCTCAGCTGGCTTTGCCGTGATTCCCTCGGCTATCTCCTCCCCTTGCCCCCGGTCATTCGTAGGATGCCTCCGGGTCTGGTTCTAACAGGCTTGGGCTAGAGTGTCAGAAAGTGGTGTAGGAATTCCCGGACCCGTGGCCCCCTACACTGGCGTCGGGCCAGGCCACGGAGGATGAAATTGCTCTCAACTGTATGCGGCTCCAAGGCCGGTCCAGAGCATCTGACCTCTTCCTGAGCTTTCATCCAGCACTTCTCAGTCCGTAGAAACTAGATATCTCTAGCGGAACATATGGAACCTGCGTCCGGGACTTTAAATTGCGACTGTCCGTAGTTGTTCTTTGCCACAGCATAAATTCCAAGCTGTTCCCAAAGTCTTTCATCGGGCTCGCTTTTGATCGTTGCCCATACAGTGTACATAGTTACATACCATCTGTCATTTCGGTCCGCAAGCGGACTGAGATCACTTCAGTTTTTTTTCTCGGTCAGCAAGGCGTGATTTCCATGGTTCTGATTCGCCGGCCCTTGCAATTTTCCCGCCACTCCCCAAAACTCCGCCGCCAGGATTTGCCATCTCTTCCCGCTGTTCCCAGCTGTCCCGCTGACTGTACTGGAAAATTCTCCCCTGCACCTGCCAAAATCATTACTACAAAGGTACTTCGTACATTGAGAAGGAGCGAAGCACCCACAGATTCTAGCCGCCTGGCTACCTGCCTCCTCCTGCTCCTCTGCTCCTGATCACTGGTCCAGGGCCCCCTCTCCCTACTCAAGTTCTCCCTCATCCCCGATAACCCGCAACCCGCGGAAAAAAAGGACTGTGCAACGCAACCGCCTACGCTTGGTCTTTCATCCCAGTCGCTCCTCCCCTCCCCCAATTTCTCTCCTCTCCCGTCCTGGTTTCCGACCATTTTCGCCGACCCCAAGACCCGCACGCAGCCTTTATCGTCGCGTTGTTGACCGACGCCCCTCCACTCCCTCGTCCACTCCCCTCGACATACTCCCACGTCCCATCCGGGTAGTAATCCTCTCGGGAATAGGACGTGCCTACGCCGTTGCATTTTCTCACCACTCGCCTGGCCGTCGATAAAATACAGCCGCTGCAAAAGAGGCTCCGTCGGCGTGGCACAAGGCCACAACCCCTTCTATCCATCATGACGCCCTCTCCTGGGTCGCAGCCCACCGACTCCCGAGGTCCTTACTCGAGTCAAACGGTTTCTGTTAGTTGGGGCGAAGGAGACACCACACCAGGCTCTCGCACATTTCAGTTTGGTGTATCGGAATGCATCGAGACCAAAACCGTGACAACCACGACAACAACGAAACGCACCTTTCCACCCCTCTTTGTCCGGGAACCCAGGCCTTTAGAGTCCTTAGATGTCAAAGAATACCCGCTAGCATCGAAGTCCACACCGCCGCAGCTTGCCCAGTTTACTTTCGATGTGCCCGGATTCGACCTTTTCGCAGAGGAAGATGCCCCATCCAAGCAGGTCAGTCTCGTGTTCCGGCACTCCGTGCTGTTCGATATCTCTTTGATATATTCTGTAACCCCTGGTATTACTGAGAAAACTTGGTGCTAATATGTTGCACTTCTGTGTGCCAGTCTTTACAGACTCGACGACGCTCGACACCCCCAAAACGGTCACTCCGCCTTTCCCGCACCGCGAACGAGTCTTTTGATTCAGTATCGACACGCCTACCTTCTAGGTCACCATCAGAGTCATACCCTCGCCGGTCGAAACGAACGACTACACGAGCCGAATCTCCATCTCGCTGTGTTTCGAAGCCGTCTCACAACAAGACTCGACCCGCTAGCAGTCATGCCGCTTCCGATCGACCTCGCCGGTCAACGACTTTGGTAAATCGACGTGAGAGCGAGCGTCTCGCGAGGCAGGTTGCTGGCGTTCTCGCCACCCCCGATGCTGCCGAGTTTGCTCCTCTTGAAGAGAGGCCGACGCGGATCCGCAAAGTTTCCACTACTCCCGAGCCCATCGTTAGCCAGGTGCCTACCCTGTACGATGCTGCTAGTCCTATTGCTAGCGATACCCAGACGATTTTTAGCGGCAATGTAGCAACACCGCCGATTACAGATGCCGATGTCGAGCCGTTTATGGACGCCGACGAGACCTTGCAACAATCTGTCCGGTCTCTCCACCAGAGCCGTCACCCTCTAGAGTCCGCAGCAGCCCAAGATGCAGATGCCAGTCTTCCTAGTCCCAGACTGTCCCCTAAGTTGACGGCCGCTCAGCCCGAGTCCGATTCTCTCGTCGATGAAGAGGACGGCTTGCCCATCACATCCCAGGCTCTCACCCAGCACCAATTATCCTGGAACGAAGCGTCCCAGAGCACAAGCACCGATGATTCAGAGATGCTGTCCCCTCGTCCTCTCGTTACCAAATCCCGTGGCTATCTGGCTAGGGAATCTGCCACCCCTCCTCAACTAATCGATCCCAGAACAATGCTCGAATCCTTTGACGCCATGCCTTCAGATATGAAGACTTTGATGCTGTACCAGTTCCTCCGCCGGTGCCCGAGAAAGACGCTCCGGATTGTTGCCGATGTTGTCAACCCATCATTACAATGCGACTTTTTGAAGCAGCTCCCTCTCGAACTCAGTTATCACGTCCTCTCTTATCTGGATTACCGGGATCTGTGCCGCGCCGCTCGAGTCTCGAAACACTGGCGAAATATTATCGATAGCAACGAAACCGGATGGAAAGAACTCTTCGACCGCGACGGATTCAAGCTTCCCCCTGGCGAGCTGGAGAAGGCGATCCGACAGGGTTGGGGTTGGCAAGACCCCTACGGCCCCGCGGGGTGCGAGGTCGACTTGAGTGCACAGCGACGACTGAACTCCACAGAAGCTGAACTCACGCAAGTTGTCTGCAAAACCGAACCGACCTCGGCAAGACTTCGAAGTTCGAAGCGCAAGCGGGGCCTCAATGCGATGTCGGGGGTGGACCGATCGAAGAGGCGAGCGAGCGCGAGTGCCGCCCTCAAGGATACCAGTGGTCAACTCGAGGTCAAGCAACACAAGTCCGAGGGGCCCCTGTCGGCAGCCAATGCGGCAGCGTTGGCCGTTCCCGACCCTCAACTGGGTCTTCCCAGCCTTCGCAGACTCCATCTCTTCAAGTCACTCTACCGACGACATTACATGATTCGGGAAAGCTGGACCAACGGCAAGGTCCAGCCTTCGCATGTCGCCTTCACCGCCCATCCCCGTCACGTAATTACTTGCTTACAGTTTGACGACGACAAGATCATCACGGGTAGCGACGATACGCTCATTCATGTTTACGACACCAAGACCGGAAAATTGAGGAAGCGGCTAGAGGGTCACGAGGGTGGCGTTTGGGCTCTCCAGTATGAAGGTAACGTTCTCGTATCCGGGTCGACGGATAGATCGGTCAGGGTATGGGATATCGAGAAAGGCCTTTGCACCCAGGTCTTTTACGGTCACACTAGTACTGTACGCTGCCTGCAGATCCTCATGCCTTCGCCCGTCTCCAAGGACCGCAAGAAGCAGCCGGAAATGATGCCGGCTAAGCCCCTTATCATCACCGGATCGCGTGATAACCAACTTCGGGTATGGCGTCTTCCCGAGGCCGGTTCTCGCAGGTACATACAGACCGGACCCCCGGCCAACGATAGCGACTGTCCTTACTTTATCCGCACCCTTGCCGGCCATACTCATTCGGTTCGTGCTATCGCTGCACACGGTGATACCCTTGTCAGTGGCAGCTACGATCACTCCGTCCGGGTCTGGCGTGTTAGCACTGGCGAGGCACTGCACGTCCTTCATGGACACACTCAGAAGGTTTACAGCGTCGTGTTGGATCAAGAACGCAACCGATGCATCTCGGGCGCCATGGATTCGCTCGTGAAGATTTGGGATCTCGCTACTGGTGCGTGCCTATATACTCTTGAGGGCCACAACCTGCTTGTGGGCATTTTGGATCTCCGTGACGAGCGCCTCGTTTCAGCCGCAGCGGACAGCACGCTCCGCATCTGGGATCCCGAGAACGGACGCTGCAGAAACGTGCTATCTGCCCACACTGGCGCTATTACGTGTTTCCAGCATGATGGGCGCAAAGTGATTTCGGGCAGCGAGAGGACCGTTAAGATGTGGGATATTGCCAGCGGTAACTGCCTGCAAGATCTTTTGACGGACCTGGGTAGCGTGTGGCAGCTTAAGTTCGACTATCGACGGTGCGTGGCGGCTGTGCAGCGTCAATCAATCACGTATATTGAGGTAAGCAAACTCTTTCCAAAATTACATACCCCAACATCGTGACTAACCCTTGATCTCTCCTAGATTCTTGACTTCGGAGCCGTCCGCGATGGCAAGCCTCCCGAGGAGCTAGGCAGGCGGATCCTGCTCGACGAACCCGAGGTCCAACGTCTCATGGAGGAAGACGTATAGGAGGATTCTCCCTCGAACCCCTGGTGAGCCGAGGTCAACCGGAACCGATTCACCGTTTTTGGTGTGAATTATATTCTTCAAAACCGGCGTTATTATTCCTTTTTTTATGCATTTTCGGTCTTGCTTCTACATATCATATGCAAGAGGAAGGAGCAACAGTTTGCATGCCAACGCGTGACAAAAAAAAACAACCAACAGCATTGCGACGGCCATACGGAGTTTCAGAGATTTTTTTTTCTGTCCTTTTTCTTTTTTTTTTTTTTTTCCTCTTTCTCTTTTCCGCCCTCTCGTCTATCAAAGGCTGCATAACTTTTTGTTTTTCCCTTCGGCATGCTATCTCTACCACCCCTCAATGTCATCTAACGATCTGGGACTATGACTGGAACTCGGGTGGTTTATCCAAACATTACCCTCCGCGGACGTGGCGAAAGAGCGGCGTTCTCTTATTTTTTTTTTCTGTTTTCGTCTTATTCACACATATCATGGGTTGGGGAAGGACGACGCAAATCGGGAAAGGTGTGTGGGGAAGATGGGATATAAATAAGTGGTAACCGCAGCTGATAGATTTTTTTATTTTTTGAGGCGAAGGTCAATTCATGATTTCATCACATTAACCGTCCCCTTTTCGTGTATCAAGTTGCTTGAGGTTGGTGCTTGCTTTTTCTCCGGGCCCGGTTGCATTTCCATGCCTCGAGAGTGGGCATCGAGAGTAATTATTCAGTAATCTAGCGGCACACGTACATTTTTAGTATCCCTCGTCTTGTTCATCTGCTGCTATGTTAAAAAACCGATATGGGAGGTTCGGGGGGATGGCGGCCGGGGACTCTTTGCTGCACGGACTTCCGACGCCCGGATTCAGAGCCGGCCGGAGCCCCTTGGTGCCCCGGCGCATACTCTCCGGCGGCGGGGCCGTGTGAATAGATTTGATATCACCTCAGTTACCACAGTCTACACTGACTAAACTCTCCACAACCCCCGTTACACGGTTCCGAGGGATCATAGAACGCTGGAAACATTGTAATTATAGTGGTAACTTCTCACAAGATACCTCCTCGCCCAATGCTCCAGCAGGGAACGTAGTCAAGTTTGGGCCTTGGTAGCGCCGTTGAGCGCCTGTTTGTCCTCGATCATTGCCTCCTCTAACATCTCGGTGATTTTAGGCTCCTTGGATTCGGCGGTGATCCGTCGCCAGTCCTCATTGATTACTCAACTAGGAACCACGAACGTCGACGAGAAATTTATATAAATCAGACCGCTAAACTATCGCCCATAAAAAGAAAACACAAAATTTCTTCTTTACGCCAGGTTCCGGCATCATCACAATCACAAGGGTATCCTGAAAAACAAAACCAAGGCTCTCGCCTCCTCTCTCCCCCTTCATCGCTCATAAAACCTACGGAAACCGAAACGAAGGCGTCGGTTTCCTCCCCGGCATCCCCTGCAACACCTCCCCTTCCACCCCAAATCCATAATTCCCCCTATTCACAACCCCATACCCAATCTTTATCCTCTTCCCACGCGTCCGTATCTCCCCCTCGGGCCCGAACGGGATCTTCTCCAGCGCCGACCCCCTCGTGGCGGCCGCCACCGAGCTAAACCGCGTATCCCTCGCCACGCCCTCTTCGCGGATCGCCAACATGCCGAAGCCCGTCGCCACGAGCGCGAGTAAGATGGCGATGGAGTAGACGGCCCAGAGGTCGGCGACGTGGTAGACGTAGTGGTTGGACGTGCGGTGGCGGGTGCACGGGTAGAGCGGTTGGTCGTCGACGTTCTCGTCACGGCCGGTGACTTTTTCGGGGTCGGCGGCCCATACTACGGCGAGAAATTGCGGTTTTGAGAGGAGGGAGAGGATGATGTCCTCGTAGTAGGTTTGTACGCCGGCCATGAGGTCTCCTGCGGCGAGGTACGTGTGGATGTCGATGAGGCGCGTCTGTGTGATTTTCGTGTGGAGGATCTTGTTGGGCTCATGGATCGTGCCGTTGATGAAGCGGCGGAGCTGTAGACCGAGGGCGTGGTAGGCCGCGATATGGCGGTAGCGGCCCACGTCGGCGGTGGGAGAAATGTAGTTCTCCTCGGGGAAGGCCGTGGTATTGTCGTGCGTGCCGTCGGAAGCGAATTCGCCGCGTTGGAAGATGGTGTCGATGATGGGGCGGAGGTGGCGTCGGCTCTTGACGGTCGTTTCCTGCTTGAGAGATACGTAGTTGAACTCGACTTCGTATTCGGTCTCGTAATGTTCGCACCCGAAGATCTTGGGCGTGAAGGCCGTGTCCCAGCCCGGATCTGTCCGCTCGTTCGGCTGCTTCTTCGACGGGTCCTCAACGCTGGCGTAGCCTACCCAGAGGATGGGCTCGGTTCGGAAGACGCCTAGATTCTTTGGGAGGGGGTCCTTGGAGATGGGAACGCCGCCGTCGCCCGAGTCCATCTGGGGATTCGCGTATTCTCCCTCATACACGGAGGCGAAGTAGGTGAAATTGCCCTCGGGCGCTAAGATGTCGGTCGAGAAGGGGGCTTCAGCATCGCCGAGCTTCTTCGGCTTAGATCCGACGCCGCTGGCGAGTTCGGAGCACTTGTAGCCGGGCGCGACGAAGTTGACGGTGAAGCTGCAGTTCCAGCCAACGCCGCAGATATCCGGCGCGGCGTTCTCCCTGGCGATGGGGCCCTTTAGGAATGTGGCGAGCGTGGCTACCAGATCGACCTGTTGGCTCGGCTCGGTCCAGTAATCGAAGTAATCTGGACTTTTCTCGTCGTCGGCAGAAACGTTCCAGTATGATACTGAAACCTCAGGGATGCCGCCTGCAAGGTAGTTGGGGACGCGCCAGTCGTTACCTTCCTCGCGCGCAAAGTTGAGCGAAGGAATAGCAGGACAGTTAGTTTCCTCCGTCAAAGTCATGGGTTGGACTGCGAGAGTCTCAGAGGCGAAAATAACAATGAGCGGCGTGAACCACACATAGATGACGAGGAGCATGGCCAACTTGGCCTCCTTGAACAGCTCAAAGTTGAAAAGAGCCGTGAGGTCTTCGGTGGCGGCGAAGAGCCCGTCGACGGCGGCCACGGTGAGAACCTTGCGGCGCACGGTCATCCATACGCGCTGCCGGTAAGCCGTTACTGTTGCCGCGGCAAGGGAGGATTTGGAGAGGAAGGAGAGGGCGGCGCCGTATCGGAGGAGTCGGAGCTGGTTCGTCGCCTCTTTTCCGTTTAGGCTCTTGTAGAATAGGTGGTGGCCGATGGCGAAGAGAATGCCGACGATTAGGAGAAAGTACATGTTGTATTGAGGTTTCCAGTATCGCTGGAAGAGGGACAACCGAGCCGGTGGGGGACTGGGGGGCAGCTCTGATGGATCAGCGATGGGCCTGTACCCGGGAGGCGCACCGCGGTCATCGAGAGGCGGAGAGAGCAGTAGGGCATCGGAGCCATTGCGGTGATGGGAGTCATGATACCTCGGTGTGTAGAGGTTTGACATGGGCGTCCCTTGATCGTCGGTGTATGGTGGTCCTGAGCCTAGATCTGGATCTTGGCGTTCCAATTGGAGAGGCGTAGGCCTAGGCCTTGTCGTTGAATAGTAGGGCTCACTATTCAGTGGGGGTGTGTTTTGGCTTCTGGAAAGATCTGGAGATGTGCGAGAGAAGGTAGAGGCTCCGTCTCTTGGGGGAGATCCCCTGTTGCCGGCCGGGTTGGGGCCGGGACTCCATCGCTGGGAGCTGTGTGTTGGCGGGGTCGTGATTGGGGAGCTAGGAACAGCGACAGGTTTCCGAGCTACCGGCGGCTCTGCGGGGATGGGGTTCCAATTATCACCTCTTGAAAGAAGATAGAAAGAGTTGGCATTGGACGATGAGCTGTCCATGGTCAACACCAAAAGCGGAGCGCGGTATTGTTGCTGACAGTCCTGCTGAGTAGCAATCCGAAGGGCTGAGACGCGGGGAAGAAAGAATGGTGGGCGATGGGAGATGGGGGATGGATAAAAAATAATGGACGCAATGGACAGAGACAAGGGAGGGAATATGGCGTAGAAGCGCAACCAACAGACGACGGAATCAAGCAAGGGCGACGACCATGCTACGTCCGGTGTGGCTACCTCCCACAGCTCCGAGTTAGAAGTCTCCACGGCCCGTCCGTCTCACGTACTTCGTAGGGCTGCACCGACAGGTGTGTTGAAGGGTTTTCGCTTGCCGTCTGTGGAGTATTCTCCGGCGACTGACACGCAATATTTGCGCGGCAATAGAAGATAATTAAGCTTACTTGGACGAGATGAGAAAGTTGACTGGGTGAGATACGACGGGGCTGGAGGGTGGACCAAATCAACAAAGGCGGGCGATATATATCTTGGGGTTTTCCAAAAGGAAAAAAGAATACCGCAACCGGAGATCGGGTATCACTGATATCTATCTATTTGGCGAATAATGTCCACAATTTACAAGAAGTGCCAACAAGAAGTGCCAGGACCGGCTATGCCGAATTCGAGAAGAACTTCACTCCATACGAGCAGGCTCGGGACATGGAGCATACAAGCGTATGCAACAACAATATTGCCAGGCCACGGTCAGCCCGCCAAGCATGTCAGCATGCAGAGTAACCAATATGTGACGCAACTAAGACAATTAGAGCGGACGGGTCAAATTAGGCTTTTGAGCTGTGTCGACGCCATCCGCAGCTAGGGTTGGGGGCTGAGCGAAGAGCGAAGAGCGAAGCAGGCTTGCCATTCTGGGGGAGACCAAGAGACAAGAGACAAGAGACAAGGGACACGGAGTTGGTGGTGGGGGATATAGGGTAGGCTGGGGATCTGCGGAGCGAAGGATGGATGGATTGTTGAGAGGTCCCCTTTTTGCATCATTTCCACATCTCCGAGACGCATATTCGTGTCTTCCTGTTGACAACGACGGGATGATTCTTCCAGGAACGAACTGGACCGTGGAACATATTGATTCCAGTCTCGTATTCAGCACAACCAGCTGGGTTTCCATTGCCTGGCGGTGCGCTCGTCATCCCGACCGAGGAAATGTCCA